CTAACCTACTTCCCTATTTTAGCTTTATTATTAATCAGCATTTTCTTCGCACTTATGGCCCACCAGCGGCCGAGCGGTAACGTCGCTGAACACTGGTAGTTCGGTCCGAGGTTCGAATCCCGCAAACGGGCTGGCTGCATGGGTGTTTTCGTGGTTTTCCCCATGTGCAACGTGTATACCAGCCAGTTTCCCTTAAAACGTCCTCCACGAAGGCATCCCTACCCTTAGGCAGATAGCCCTAGTGTGCTTTGCCATAATTAAATATACCATACCATACCTTCGCACTTATGCCATATATAATTCAAAAACAAAATTACAAAAAATTTTAAAGCAGCATGTGTTTAGCATTCCCGATGCAGCTCTAAGTGCCAATTTATATATTTTTTCAGTCTTTTCTCAATTGATCACATCAATATTCAGTTTTCTTAGTAAGATGGCATGAGAAACTCCTTTTTGTCTATTTATTATTAACATTTTGAGAGTTAAATGTATTATTTAAATATCAAGTTCTTCGCGCATACTCCACATACATTTCTATTCGACAGCAATATCACAAAATATTTAAACACAACATATCTTAATAATTTTCGATAGACAGTCACACGCCCTGGAGATAACAATGTTTTATTCCGTACAGTGTTGCAACTGCTTGCTTTCAAATCGTTAAGTTTTTAATAAAAAACTAGGTAAAGTTTTACAGAATACGAAGCAGGTAATTTAACAGATTCCAGATTTGGGCTTTCAGATGCCCATATTCCAGTGGACACGCATGTTATTCAAAATGTGATGGCTCTAGTTACAGTTGTTTTATCACAGTGCGAGAAACATACATACATTTATGCAGATTCTTCATTATTTAATTTCTTTAAATGTAATGCGGAGCTCTAATATTTGGTGGCAACAATATGAAAAGTGAAACGCCGTTTTATAATGGACAATGCAAAATGCCAAAATGAAATTAATAGTTCTTCTGGGCAAATTGCCGCTTTGGGCTAAAAAGTAATGAATGAAAAATTAATCTCATCTTCGTATTCAAATTTCAGTTTATTATTAAGAAATATTTAAGCTAAAGATTTCAGATAGGCGTATGAGCTTACTTCCTATAAATTTAAGATACAGAGCATGAAATTATTCCTTTAAAACCAACTTTTCAAAACTGCAATAATCAGATATGTATGAAAACAGAAAAACTTGTACTATTATTCCATCCTAAATTTGCAAAATATGTATAATGTTCACTTATTTAACAAAAAAATCTTTATAAGTTGGAATCGCTGTGTCTTGTTTTTCACAGACTATCTTACACAATAAGACCAACAAGCCAGCATTCCAAATATTCATTATTGCAAGGGTTATTAAAAAAGAAAGAGCGGATTGCAAACATGTATTTCTTCCAAACTATGAAAGATAGAAGCATGATTCTAACGTTAACCCTCTGACTGCTCAATTTGTGGACCGAAATCGCTTCAAAAATTGTGTAATTTTTCTTTTGCAAATTTTAAATCTATATATATTGGAGAATTGAAAAATGCATTTTTTCTTTCTAGAAAATATTTTTTATATAGATTTTTATCATGAGAAACTAAGTTGCCAAAAATACCAATATTTAAATGCTATCACCAAAAAACATTTTTTTAAGAAAATTTCAGTCGAATTACAGTTAATTTCTATTAAAAGGTAGAATTATAAAATTTAAGAAAATATAAAGCACTGAGGAAAAAATGCATTAAAAATGCAGTGTTTAGTATGATAGAGTTCAAAACAGGGTTCAAGGCAAAGTCCAACTTCACAGTTTTTGCACGAGATTCAATAACTCTAATTAATAATCAATTTAATTATTAATCTAATAAAAATCTAATTAATAATTCAATAATTTAATTAAATAATCAAGATAATCGCTGAATGTTTTCGAGCGGCGATTTCTGTAAGAAAAAAGCGGCAAAATATCGTGTTTGAGCGGTAAAACCACGTGCCTTCAAACGCCCCAATTTAGCGGACAACTAACGATATTTGTTGTCCAAAACGTAAACTAAACGTCTAATACTGTATATAATTTATTTCAGTGGTCAAATGGGGGAAAAACGGGATGCGCTCATCAATAAAGGAAGAAAAACACATGCCCGCGGAAATCGCGGGATGAGCAGATTTTGCTACATTTGAGTTGCCCGTGGAAATCGCGGGATAAGCAGCCAGAGGGTTAATGGACAGAGAAAATGCGTACAATTTAGCAAGGGTTAAATTTCCAATCATGGCCGCATGGCGCTGTTGTTTGCTCTAGTATTACTTGTCGGTTGGTAGTCTGTAGTGAAATGGCGGCGACAGCATAGCAGATGTCTTTTTGTGTTCTACAGTTGGCAAAACTAGAGTCTATTGTTGCAGTTCAGAGAGCATTTCGCCGTCAATTTAATAAACAACCACCGCGTCATAAGCAAATTTACGAGTGGCATCGAAAATTCGTAGAAGATGGTTGCATCTGCAAAGGGAAAAGCACGGGACGTCCACGCACATCGAACGAGAATGTCGAGCGTATTCGTACACTTTACGAAAGGAGCCCAAAGAAATCCACATCGCGAGCATGCAAAGAACTTAAAATTCCTCAACCAACGGTATGGCGAGTTCTAAAACATCGTATGTACATGAAGCCACACAGACTGCAGTTATTGAATGCATATGTTACCGTGAAAGACCGAAATTGGAGAATGTCGACTTTCACACCGGAGAATGTCAACATTCACCAAATATGTCGGTGAAAGATCGAGTATTGCATTACATTCTTGCACTTTCGGACCCTCACCGGTGTATGTCGACAATCACAGATATGTTCTGGTGAAAGTCGAAAAGAGAGATCATAAAGTGCCATAATAGTTTAAGTTGTTGCAATAAATAAGATTTGAATCACATAATTTAGGTAAGTTTTTTATTACTGTATTTATTATTTTCTCATTTAGAACGTACTTAGAACGTACTGCATAAGTTAAGTTTTTAACTTCTAAATATTACTTTCCTTTCTCATTTTGAATGTATTGTGTGTCTTAGGTCCTCATGTTTTTAAGTTTTATTTCAAGTCTCAAGTGCGTTTTTTCGCGACTGAATTACGGAGAAGAAAATATAATATTGTTATATGTTCAAACATTCATCCTTAGTACATGGTGAATGTCGACATTGACTGGTGTAAGTCGGAAATAAGAGTATTTGGAAAATATTTCGGACATACACCAAGAGACTATGTGAATGTTGACATTCTCCAGATTTCGGTGTTTCACCATAACACATACATTGAATGCATACCATAATTGTAAACTTTTCTCTGTCCATTAACGTTAGAATCATGTTTCTATCTTTTGTAGTTTGGAAGAAATAAATGTTTGAAATCTGGGCTAATCTTTGGAATATGGTAACAGGTAGTTTGGCGACATTTTGGTAAGGCGATAAAGGCTACTAGCTAGGACTTTAGTAGTGTACATGGATAAAGTCAAGAGGGTGCGCAATGCCATTTTTGTGCAATTCTGGGATGTTTTTTTAAGTGAAAATACATCGACGTGTACATGGATGATACCGTGTATGTGCAATTCTTAAAAAAGTGGGCGATTTTGCTATTTCTCCCAACTTTGCACCTCATCTTCGTCATGATTAAGCACTTTTGTTCTATAAAAGTTTTAGCATAAGCGTAATTCGGCTAGCAGATTGTTGGAAAAAAATGTTGAGTTTAAAAAAAAAAAGTGCCTTTACTTAGTGAAAACAAAATGGCTTCCAAAAAAACTAGCAGGTTGCTGTAGCAGGGTTGGTCGCCAAATTTTCGCCAAAAAATAGCCAAGTTACCATAATCCGAAGATTAACCGATATGTGTTCTTTCTTTTTGAATAACTCTATATTTCCTGCAAGTGAAGTGGCAAAGATTTATATTTTGTTTTAGGTCTAATTATTCCTGGAATGCGACAATTACTTATCATAACTAGTATGATTTCAAGATGTTAACCACTACGAAATCACTACGCAGACTCACAGGTATGCTTAAGGCATTTGCGAACGATGCGATACCCCGCTTGCAGAATATGATTTACTGTCTTTGAGAGATTCACTGAACATAGAACAGTGAGAAACATTGAGGGGTCTGGATGACAGTACAGCACCGTCTATAGGAGAAAATTGGAATTATTTTTAATGTTGGGAGGGGGAAAACATTTTATGAATGAATTTTTCCATGTTTAAAAGTTGCAATATATTTTCATTAATGTAAGTAAAATAGTTATTGTACCCAATGTTTTCATCAAAGATAATGCATTTGCTTGCGAACAGAATTTTTAAGATATATCATTCAGATTTTAGGGTGCAGAGACATGTAAAACAGCATGTTTTTTTTTCTGGAGGGTAATTTACTAAAGCTTTTTTAAATCAAAACTCTTTTTTATAAATGTTCTTAAGAAAACTTGAAAAATTTTTAAACCAAGAAAACAATTAAATTGACATTCGTTAAATGGTGATTCTCTCAAATTTAGTAATGATACCATAAAAAATGGAAAGTTTTATGTTTGAAACGTTTCCCAACGATGAAAGGTTACCGATTTCATGTCTTAGCAAATTAGAACTTATATGAAGTATCTTCCACCCCGCTACATTCTATCGCACTATCTATGGACCAAACGCCGTTTCATTTTCATATAACATTCTAATTTGCAGAATTCATAAATGCTTCGCTCTTTCTAGAAAAACAATTACATAAGTACATACAAATTAAATGCTTTTTTAAATAAATTTTGTTTTATGTTAAGCATGTATTAAAATATCATTTCCTTTTTCTGAAAACAAAACTGATATTTAAAACTAACGAAATTAATATGCCTGTAAAATAAATATATAAATCATAGACAGTTTAATCTCATACTTTTTCAGGTTAGTGCCTAATTAAATGATATTGCACTATATTACTTATATTCATTAGTAATAATGTTTTTTGCTTGTATAAAAAAAACGAATTTTAAATAAAGAAGCGTATAAAAATAAACCAAAATACAACATAAAATTTTATTCTCTACATTAAATATATACAATATTTACATAGTGTCTACATTTCTTATTTATGGAATTAGAAATATAGAAACAAACAACAGGGTAATATCGCTACAAAACTCATCTCTTAGCAGGTGATACACTACTTTTGTAATACAGGACCGGTAGTAAACCAAGTAGAAAATGTAAAACGGTATACAGTTCGTAATTATAAACCCTAACTTACCTTACAGTTAACATTACTATACACATGCATATTTACAATATTTACATTGTTTATAAAATTGATAGTATAAGATTTAATATTATCTTTCAATACGCTTATTGGTTTATATATACTATGTACTAATTATAAATATTATTGTACTTAAAGAACATAATTGATATGCATTTTAATGTTCGATTCAGGAGTTGTAACATTGCTATTTTAGAATTCTGGCAACAAGACGTATATTTGAAGCAAGTGCTGAAGTTGCGCCAGTATCTCAGATATTACCCCAACTTCTTGCCTTCCATTTATTGGCAAATATTTAAAAAATGCTATGAGCTTCAAAAAGCATCTACGGTATAGTAAAGTTTAGATGCAAATAATATCTGAAGTAGACAATCAACCTGGTTTTGAAAAATAAAGTTTTATAGTCTATGATTTGATTTAATTGAAAAAAAAAACTACGTGATATTTCCTTTTAAGGATGATGCATATGCTCTTGTGGTGGATGAGGACCATAAGCTATTGGCTGAGGTTCGTATCCGATGAATGCTGCTGAAGATGGAGGTCCAGAGTAGGGCATATGATGATGTATGGCTAATGGGTGAGAAGCAGCGTATGGATATTCGACGGAAGAAGAGAAGCTTGTAGTTGCTGAGCCTGCATGACCACCGTATGAGGTCCGTGCGCCATGCATGGGTGACGGACCACCATATCCGGCTGTTTCATATGATTGTGCGGGATGGACTGGGTAAGGAGATGAATATCCACCCATAGGTGGAGCAACATGTACTACCTCAATCATCCTTGCTCCTGACCCATGATGACTGTGACCATGGCCGTGGCCGTGGCCATGATGATGATGATGGTGTCCACCACCTCCTCCTTTCTTGCGGAGCAGCTTAGCAAGGATACCAGCAGCTAGCAGAAGCTCGATGCCATTCTGGTTTCTGTTACCATGATGGCCAGCCAAGACGACAGGGAGCAAGATGTCAATTGAAAGCAGGCAGGAGACTATCACCAAGCAGAAAAGCTTCCTGGACTGCATGTTTGAATTCTGTTTTGAGACAATAAAATATAAAACATTAAATAAGTATTTAAAAAGAGTTCACTACTAAGGTAATTTAGACACAAAAAAAATCTGAAATGTTTCAGATTTTAAATTACGTCCAAAGGGGCGTTTTTTAACATTTTGTGTGTTACCTTTCTTTATTAAATATCATGTTCCTCGCACTTAAACCGTAAGATCCAGTGCAACAGCAATATCGCAAAATAGTTTTAAAACGAGCATATCTTTAGAATTTTCGATACAGAGACTCACGCGCTGGAGATAAAAATGTTTTTTCTGCACAACGTTGCCATTGCTCGCTTTGAAATCCTTGAGTTTGTTAATCAAAAATTCGTCAAAGTTTCAAAAAATAGGAAATCGATCATAAAACACAAATTTCAAATTTCAAATTTGGTTTTCCACATGCTCATATTCGTTGGAGGATTACGTTATTCAAAATTCGATGACTCTATGTACCGTGTTTTTATCACAATACGAGAAAATATACATACATTTATGCAGATTTTTCATTATTTAATTTCTTCAAATATAATGCAGGACTCTAACATTTTGTGGCAACAGTTTGAAAAGTGAACCGACATTTATGAGTCCGACGCAAAATGCCAAAACGAAACTAATAGTCCTTCGGGATTCAAATCCCTTTGGACTAAAAAGTCAGTTTTTGTTAAATAATCAATATTTTGTCATAATTTGAGTAGCATGCCTCTGATGCTATTCAGCTTTCAATTTCTATAAAATATCTTCAAGATTCGTTCATTTTAAGATGACAAAAATTTTATCATTGGAATTTAATAGAGCACTGCCGGATTATAAGCAGTACTTATACATATTTTAATTTGTAGATTTTCAAAATTAAGTGATCATGCAGAAATCTAATTTAGTTCTACTTTTCTCTGGTTAATAAAAATAAGAAAAATGTAAATTATAATGCATACTTTTACACGTACAGCTATAATTTGTATAAATAATATAATTTTACGAGATAAAAATTTATAGATTTATATTAATAGGAATTGAAGCAATTTAAAATTATAAAAATACCTTTTATATTTGCTTAATATCTGTGTATTCTAAAAGTATTTTTTTAATTAAAAAGAAATTTCATTCATGTTCTGATAACGATCTTATTAGAGTTATGCCTTACCGTATATTCATCTCTTCAAACACCCTCAAACATTTATAATTTATAATTCACCAATTTTATTTAAATTCGTGTTAAAATACTGACATATAATTATTGTGGGAAATCATAACGTCCAATGCTGAATTAGAATACAAGATGACGTCACCATCACAGCCCAGCACAGTAAGAATCATCCCAGACAGCGCTGAGACCTGGTCGAGAGCGGACCGGCAGACGTGAGCAGACGGCTCACACGTCTTCAAGAGTTTATGAACTTAGATTGTGCTTTTGATGTTATGCCTTTAGGTGTAAAAGGACTACATCATTATGTTAATCCTGCATACCGTTAACTTCATCTTTATATAATTTTCTTAATTACTTTTATTTCTTCCGATTAAATAAACCATTTAAATATTACTTCGTGCTCTCATGCCGTGAATTAAGTCAAAGTCTACATTATTCAGTTTCTAATATCAATAATTATTAAGTTTCTATATATATATGATTAAAATGAAAATAAATAATATAATAACAACAATATTGTGTAGAGTTATTCATGGCGTCCTTCTAAACCAACACATGATTAATCTGTGAAAATTTAAAAGTAATACTGAAGCCTATAACACGAACATATTAGTTCAAAGTAGAAACAAAGAGCAATGCATTTAAAAATCCAAAATAAGTAAAACATGTTTAATAATAAGTATTGTATTTTTAACGAGAGTTAATAATTAAAATTTCACTTAACTTACAGTAGTTATTATAAATTTCATTTTTTATTACCAGGCTTCCTAGAAAATGTATGTTAGATTCTAATTTTAAGTGTTTTACTAACTTCTGCTGCTCAAATTTAAATGATTAATGAAGTGAAACAGCATTACTTTTATGCAAGTTACATTTATGCTTAATGTGACTTGCTTTTATATATTTAGACTCTCTGCGGGTTCCTTATCTAATTAACTGCATTCATTTCACTTCTACTTAGAACCAATTCTGTTAATTAAGTACCACAATTTCAGCGTTAAGCTGATCAGCATTTTAGCGTTATCTTGTCGCAATTTAATTCTTACTGAAATTTCAGCGTTTGTTTTGGATTTTAGCAAGGTTATTCTTTTTTGATATGAAACACATGCAACAACTTTTAATTTATATTTACATATTAATTTTATAAATCTTAGATAAGTAAAACGGTTTGTACATAAAGTATTTAAAAATATATGGATGTGATTTAATAAAAGAAATGCTACTCACGTTTTACGTAAAATGCATGAAATCAAAAGAGAAATTGATTGATAGTTGAAAAGAAATTTACACGATCTAATTTATTTCCCTGCCGCACAATAAATTGAGCAAAGAAGCCTAAATTAAGGTTACTAATTTTCTATTTTTTACATTAAGTCAAGCATTTGATTTCTAGATGAAAATATAATCCTCATTACAATCAAGAGAAGGAAAATAAATTAAGATGAAATGCATTTCTTTTATTGACAATTTCATGAATGTTCTTCAGAAATTTGAAGCTAAATTTCGTATGAAAGTGCTTAATAGAAACATGCTGCTTTAGATTATAAAAATGTTAATAAGCATTGCAGTAGACAACTAAAATAAACAATATTTTATATGAAATAGCAACTATTAATCCTTTGTTACTTAAATTTACGTCTTAAATTTCTTCATTGGCTAAAGTAATAATAAAAATATTTAAGTTAAAAATATTTATTTAATATATTTAGTTATATATTTATCTTATAAAGTTAAACATCATCATTGAAAAGTTAGTTTCATCGTTTCCTGAATGAAAATATTAATTACACTTTTATTTTTTCATAATATAAAGTATCATATATTTGCGTTATAAATTACAATAAAGATGAAAATAAATTAAGATGAAATGAATTTCTTTTATTGACAATTTCATGAATGTTCTTCAAAAATTTGAAGCTAATTTTGTATGAAATAGCTTAATAGAAACATGCTGCTTTAGATTATAAAAATGTTAAGCACTGCAGCAAACAACTAAAATAAACAAGATTTTATATGAAATAGCAACTATTAATCCTTGTTACTTAAATTTACATCTTAAATTTCTTCATTGGCTAAAGTAATAATAAAAATATTTAAGTTTAAAAATATTTATTTAATATATTTAAGTTATATATTTATCTATAAAGTTAAACATCATCATTGAAATGTTAGTTTCATCGTTTCATGAATGAAAATATTAATTACAGTTTTATTTTTTCATAATATAAAGTATCATATATTTGCGTTATAAATAAGTGCTAAATCTCTACTTATGTGTAGCTATATGTTGTTTTTATGTCATATTTACTTTAAATGAAAGCTACGTATATGTATTTAATACAAAAGCTATTTTTAAATACTTATACGAAAGCTGCATGGTACACTAAACATGTAGTTTATTTTGCAAAATATAAAAAGAATAAATTAGATTTTAAAAGCATTAGAGTCAAACATCAATAACTAGGAGTTACCATCGAACAAATAAATACACGAAATTTGGTTTACACTTTATTTGTAAATGCTTACAAATATTTAAAGACACGTATTTGTTAAATTCAGGAGTTAGAAAAGGGAATTAAGAAAGAAAAATACTAAAATTTATTGGTTTAAAATTACCTCCAGTAATAAATTATATTAATGTTAGCATAATAAATGACTTTCCTTAAAAATAAGGTAGTAATTTTCAGTTAGCTAATATATTCGAAATAAGAAGTAACACTGTATAGAAAATACTAAGTAGCAAATGGCACAATGAAATTTTGTAAGCCACATTTTTGTAATTTTTTAAGCACAGTTACTAAATGCAAAATTAAATGAACAGAAATATTATCGACATAAATAAGAGAGCAACACATAATTGAAATTTTAACTACAAGTTGGAAGTTAACTTAATTTTCGCTTTTATTAAAACAATGTCCTATGTGTTTACTTGAAATCTTAGATAATGCTCGCTTTTCCGAAGAATTAAATAATTCTACAGAATAATTTTACTCCTATAAGAAGAGAGACCTACACATATTCTCAAGCAAAGCATAAAGAATTTCTCAAAACTTTCTACAAGCGAAAGTTTAAATGTCTGTTTCAAGCATTCTAAAATCTCAAAGATTTTTGAACAACTTTCAAGCTACTTCTGCATGAAACTCCACTCACCTGTTTGTGTAATCCAAGCGACTAGTAAGAGAATCCAATGATGTATCCAAATGGAAAGTGAAAGGTTTGTTTTTCAAAACGAAATGAAAGTGTACTTTATATATGCTCAACTCGTCGCACTGCTTAGTCGAGACGTCATTATCTGAGAAGGAAGAGTTGACGATGAAAGTGATCTTAAACCTTAAGGATTTAGCTAAAGTGGATTTAAACACAGGGACCCACCTTAGGAACTACATTCCTCCGCCCTCGGGGTGTAAAAGTGTTCACCGTTCCGACCGGCCGATCACACTTCAGATTCTTACCGTCTCTATTTTGAGTTTTCTTAAGATGGAGATTAAGAAAGATCTCTGATACTCGCTTTGGAATTAATATAAAGCACTCTCACTTTCTGAATTTGTTTCCTGGTATCATTGAAACACGCTTGTGTGAACAATATAATAAAATAGAAAGACATTTGTGTTGCAATTCGGTTAACAAAATGAAGCCGTCTGGAACTGATATCCTGATCATTAGAAAGCGATAACCATCCCATTTATTTGCTCGATTGGCGACAACTTATTTATTTTTATGTGTTTTATGTTTAAGTTCGATTTGTAAAGATATGACAACTTATCTGTAAAGTCTGTAAAAATACATACATACGTATATATATATATATATATATATATATGTTGTATGAACTAAATCCAATGCACACTTTTAAAATAATTCTACTTAATTAAACTTAGGAGATAATAATCAATTAATCAATACTGTTTAGGAAATAAATTATTATATATATATATATATAATTACATAGCAGCTTTTTAAGAAAAACAAAATATAATCATGGCCTAGTATTTTCACGCATTAAGCTTCTGAAAAATTATTAGTAATTACATAAAGTGAGAAATTTAGAACCAGTTTTTCACAAAGACCAAAAATTTAAATTCATAAGTAATAAATTTCAAATAATCCTATAAATGCAATAAAGAATTTTAAAAATATTAAAACCAAAACTCTTCAAACAAGCAATACCCCAAAGCAAAAAATTAAAGACATTTAAAGAAAAATTAACATAATAGAAAAGAAATTCAACCAACGTCAATGCCACTTCGTCACTTCACATAATGTCACGTAATCACACATGTCAATAAATTTAAAATTGAATTTTGAATTTAGTTTTCTTTAAGTCTTTTCACTAAACTTTTACAATTTCACCTACGTTTTAAATTCATTGGATTATGCTCTTTGATTATTGCTCTTTGTTTAAAAGTAAAATTTGAATTTGAATTTGAATTTTTAACTGAAGTATTTCATTATTTTACTTACGTTTTCAACTATTTAATTAGAATTCTCTTTATTTAAGATACAAGATTTTAATTAGAATTTACTTTGTTTTTCCCTTGCTTTAGTGAGAGACCAAAATCTTCGGGGAACTATTATAATTAAAATACATTGAAATTGTTAATTCTGGATACAGAAAAGCAAGGAATTTTCTGGAAGAGAGATATCCCTTGATTTTAGTGTTCTTCTCCTGACGAAGTGGAATTGAAGTTGATTGAATCCATCCTCTATTATATTCATTTTTCTTTAAATTTCATTGATTTTAAGATTTGGGGTATTGATTATTTGAAAGTTTTGGTTTTAACTTTTATTAAATTCTTTATTGCATTTACAGGATTATTTGAAATTTATTACTTACGAATTTCAGTTTTTGGTCTTTGTTAAAAAATTGGTTGGTTGTGAAAAATTAGTTATTATTAAAGCGAATTTCATGTCCCGGTGCAAAACAAGTTCTGCCTCTTAAAGGCAGTTAGTGTCCTGGCACAATACAAGAGGCTTTATGTACACCACTTAAGTACAATTCATATTCTGGCAGAATACAAGAGCTTTCATGTACACCTCTTAAGCGCAATTCATGTTCTGGCACAATACAAGAGCCTTTATGTACACCACTTAAGCGCAATTCATGTTCTGGCACAATACAAGAGCCTTCATGTACATCACTTAAGCGCAATTCATATTCTGGCACAATACAAGAGCATTTATGTACACCACTTAAGCGCAATTCATGTTCTGGCACAATACAAGAGCCTTCATCTACAGCACTTAAGCGCAATTCATGTTCTGGCACAATACAAGATCCTTCATGTACACCACTTCAGCGCAATACATGTTCTGGCACAATGCAAGTACTACCACTTAACTCTTTAAAAGGCGGTGGTTGCCTACAGTAAACCATCTTTTCTACTGAACGTCTTACTCACTCGTGTGAGTGGGTTCTTAAGACTGTCCTTTTCTGAAGTTCCCTTGTAGCTCACTAGATGGCAATCAAGAAATATAAGCCACTAGTTGACGCAGCAATTCGTCTTCAAGAAATAAGCATCAGCCATCGAAGACAAAATCACGACGATGTATACTCTGCAGCACCAAGGAAAAACCTGTAAGAATATTGTGGGAATACAGCACATGCAAAGTTGCACTCTGCTTGAAAACGAAAAACTGTTTCCATGAGTACCATAGAGACTAATTTGCAGGGATGTCTTCTGTGGGCGGTGGTCACTGAAACTAAACACCAGAAGTAGTCACTTTTTTCACGGGTCTTGGACAAAATATGTATAATTGTCACAAATAATTTCAATGTAACACCTGAATGTAACACCTGATATAGTAAATAAAACAAGAAATTTGCTGAAAAAGTTAATTGCCTTTTCCTGCCCTCAAAGAGTTAAGAGAAATATTTGCTGAAGGTCAATCCAAGTGATCCAATGCAAGTGATTCAAGAAATAAACGAGCAATCATTAAATGAAATAAAAAGTGCTTACATGGCATGCATTTATGATGAGTAATTATCGTACACATTTTTGACCACTTACCGTTTTAAATGCCTTGTTAAATATGTAAGATATGTTCTAAGGTATAGATATAAGATATGTTCTAAGAGATAGATTATATGTTTGGATTCACTTAGAATAAATAACAACCGGTGGACATATTTTAATTGCTTATTTAAAATCGTTTCAGGTGAGTTAAAAGGAAATCTGCATAGTAAAGTCAGAATGCAATTTCTTCTTAACATTATAATTTTTATATTTTTAAATAAATTTTAACTCATATTTGCTTGAATATTGAAACTTTAGTAATGGATTCTTCGGGATATGAGGCTATAATGTGCCATCCTTAGCCTGCAGCTTTGCAACACGCTTCTTTACCAAAAAAAAGTGTTGAGTTGAAATCATCAGAAAAATCAAGAGTTGTTAAGGAATATATCACTAAAAGTAAAAACCTACGTGAAAGTTACTGTTAATCGCTTAAATACCTACACATTTTGCAACTCTTTAAAAATATAGACCTTCAGCAATATGGCTCAAAACCTAAATTTTAAGGATAATTTAAAAATAATTTATAAATGTATTTAATTTGAAGACGAAAAGTCGGTTTAACTTCGGATTCGCCTTGCAGTAAGTTCTTCGTTGTAAGCTAAGAACTGAATATTCAGCACATTAGTCGTTAGTAGTCGGTTTTATGCTTAGTGTTTTATAACTCGTAATAGACCACATATTTTCAGAAAATATCATTTGGAAATGACGAATATACGAAAACATAAAAGCCAGTGAAAAATTCTGAAAATGAATTACTTGTCTGAATCAGAGTAAATACAAAGGAAATCAACACTTATTAATGTGAATTCAATAGTTTGGATATAAATATTAAATAAAATATATACTTGGCTTAACATATATGATAATCCTAACTTAACAGGTCTATAAAAGTGCATTCTAATTATTTTAGAACTACATTGTTAACCCTATCTAGAATCAATAATTTTGCAAGGTTTCAAAATATTGAAATTTAATTTGTATTAAAAATTTAATTTTCCTTTCCTGTCGAACAATAATGAAATGAAAAAGTTTTAAACGTTTTCCTGAGTATTTTAATATTTTAAAATTACATTCCTTATAAATTTCACAAATACAACATATGTGTTCAGCATTTGTTTCTATGGTTTTTATTAAAAATTGAATTAGTAAGAAAAAAATTGTTACTTCCTAATGATAAAGGGCTCATTTATTTTACCGGATAATTAAAGATTTTTTTTCGTAAGTATATCTTTTGGTAATTCAATGCGTAATTACCCTCAAGAAAAAAATAAATATGAATTATACTGGCAGTAAGAAGAATTGCAAATTCTTCTCATCTCTGAAATTTTATGTTTCAAACTCTTCAAAAATAATAATAATAAAATATGTTAAGTAATAAATGTTTTGTTTTTTAATGGCAATATTCAAATAATAAAGGATATTTTAAATTTACAATTTTTAATGCAAAGGCATCTGGAAAAGTCCGGTTACAACGAAGGGACGCGTGTGATTATTTCACTGATGTAATCCTATCCAGATTTGACACCAAAACATAACGATAGACAAAATATGATGTTTCTTTTACGACCTTGAATACCAGAAGCAAATTAGCTGCGTGAAAGTCACCAATATTTCCGAGACGGAAACTTTAAAGAAAATAGATAGCTTCAATGTTAATGGTTTTCTTTTCATTCTACAAGGCATCACGAAACCAAAGAGAGTGCTCTGCATGTGTTTTGGCCAAAACACTGTTCTCATCAAGTATTCACAGTATTCAATAGTTAACGATTGGGTATCTTTAATGAAAAGGTTTCAGAAGAATATTATTACATTTTCTAAATAAAATCAGAGAAAAGGTGTTTCTGTATTCACTGTGTCTCGCTTCCTGCTAGTTAGATTTTGTTTCAAAAATCAAAATAATATATCTGTGATGAAAACGAAGTTATGGTACAAGCCACCAAAAAAGTTCTATAAATATTTTTAAGGTGGCCAAATGCTGGGTGAATTTCTCGCTGTTCAACAGGATACTCTTTCATAAGCAGTCGTAGAATTGTCTCAAAATAGGTAAATAAGTTTAGTCTGCGCAGTCAGGACTCATCGAACAACAGGTACAGCTACAGGTAAAAGTATGGGAGACACCAGCTATGTACCATGTGTCAACAGGTAGTGCCTTCCCACACTAACCAACCCTTTAAAAAAAGAAAAAAGTGCAAGTTTTATAAGAATTTATAAAGAAAGATTGAGAAAAGGAGCAACTGAAGCTTTCAAATGATCTACACGATGACAGGTGGGAGCAGGTTCCGGACCCACGG